TTCAAATTGATTTTGTGAAATTGAAGCACCCACTGCTTTAAATGGTGCACTAAGAATATTCAGCAACGAAAATGAATCATCAACATTACATAACAAAACAGCTTGATTGGCTTCTTTCTTTGATTTGTTAAATTGTGTAATGCTTAATATAATTCTTGACTCAATTGATTCTTTATCAATGCAAAATGTAAGATCAAGTCCATCATCTTTTTCTAATACACAATCTATAAATTGTTGATCATTTCTTTCTTGAAGAGTTTCTAAATTAGAATTTATCATACGTACATAAACTCTACTAGGTACACTTTTAGCTATCGAAGTAAAAAAGAGTCCAATCCATATTAGCGAAAATGGGCTATCAATTTCGTTTGCTTCAAAATTTTCCAAAAATACATTGAAGTTTTCATTCAAAGCGTATTCAAGTGAAATGAAATGTCCTGCAGATGAATCATAAATTAATCGTTGTAACCAATCACAACATTTTCCATGTGTTTCGATCTGTTTTATCATTGACTGTCGTTGAATATTCTTCAATGACTCTGTTTGTAAAACGTTTCGTATCGATCGGATTGACTTTGTACATTCATCATAACGAATTCTATCATCTGATGCAATAGCAGCTGCTGCTATTTCAAGCTTTTCTATAGCTTCTGGTAAACATTTCCACATTGCTAATTTAATATCCCATACTCGAAATTGTGCAATGGACAATAAATTTTTTCTTGCATCAACACAATAAACATTTGTCTGTTGTTTCAATGTGATAACAGTAGTTTTCCACATCACCGCACACCAACCAGCAACGATTAAAAATTGATTGAGAGTTTGCTGAATTAATTGATACATATCTGTATTGTCTGATTGTCTAAATTTATTATACAAACCTCTAATTTTTGATAAAATGCTTTCTAAATTAGTAACTATTGTAATAAGTGGCTTTTTTAATGCATGCTGAATTGCAAATCCACCACTTCGTTGTTCCAGTGTATCAAATAATTGTTGTAAAAGGTCATAAAATTGAAGAAGAGAACTTCGGCTAATCGTCTGAATCGAAGGTAAAACAACATTGCATGAATTTATTTTACGAATTAATATTTGTGTTTTATACCAAAGCTCTTTTGTATAAAAAACCTCCGACCGTTGAAATTTAATATTCTCAAATAAGTTTCCAAAAATTTGAAATATATTTATAATTCTTTTTAATACTTTAGCTTGTTTTTCTAAATCAAAAATTGCAAGATCTTGAATGAACTTATGTAATTTAATATATAATTTATTTCCACAACGTTCAATTTGTATTGATAACATTTCAATTCTCTTGTCTGTTATTTCACCATACAGTAATTCACGTGTTTTAACACTTAAAATTTCTATTTTCGCTTCATTTGATAATGGACCCGAGGTAGACTGTATTAGTTTGCAGAGTTTATCGAGTTCATTCTTTAAGTATGGTCGTTGATTTAATAAAACCTTATTTATAAATCCAAGAATAAAATCTCCAACATCATTAGTAGATATTTGAAGTTCTACTAATTTAATAACAAGAACACACATTGCATCACAAATTAACGTTTCAGCTTCACTAACTATGTCAGTTAATTCATCAATTTCAAGATCAAGTTGACTTTTAGAACCATGAATAATTTGTTTAACAAAGTTAAATTTATTTTTCATAAAAAATGGTAAATGCAGATGTTCGTTAAATATTTTTATAATTTTTATTTTTTCCTCTAAATTTGTAATACACATTGTGTAATTACGTAATAATCCCCAAATAACAGCATGTAATGGTGCTACATTATATTTATCGATTAAGTATCGAGCTGTCGAACAAGTATTTTGTAATGTTCGAAAAGA